CCAGATCTGAAGAAAAACGTGCAACATTTCTGATTTCCTGGGCAGTCTCTGTCATAATTACATGGTGGCAATGTTATAAACGACTCAACGATGCGCGGACAGTTACCTGGATTCAGAAGAGAGTCAAGTTAAGATTTATCAGTGTCGGGTTATCATACATGAACATAACACACGTGGGAAAAAACAAGCTCACTCACCAGGTTTTGGCATTATTGCGTTGGATTGAACAAAAACACAAAACAACAAAATCAAGGCAGCTTTTCTAGACCTGAGTGTCTCCATGATGATTTGTCTCAGCCAGAAATCTGCCCCTGTTGTCCTGTTTGGGAATCCCCTGGCTTATAAACTGTAACTGGAGCAGCTAGGATGCTGGGTCCTTGTGTCTGTAGAGTTACTTCTGCCAATTCATCCAATTCTTTCCATTCTTTTTTTTTTATTTGAAAAAGTTTACATGGAAATAATGCAAATTAAAATCTGAAGCATGCTGTGACAATTTCTGAGTTGTGGCTTGGTTTTTCATTCTATGTCATAATCAGTTTATTATGGTCATGGCCTTTATTATTTTAGATTTGTTTTACATTTACATTGTTTAGGGTCAGAAAAGTCATGTATGCTTTATGTCAACTTAATGATTGTACAACACAAAATATGTTTATGCCATATAAACCAGTGTGTGTGTGTGTGTGTGTGTGTGTGTGTGTGTGTGTGTGTGTGTGTGTGTGTGTGTGTGTGTGTGTGTGTGTGTGTTGTTGTTGTTGTTGTTGATTCTGATTTCATTATTTATGACCCAGACATGTTCCACACATGAGCTCTCAGCCCAGATATTGCCAACATCAGCTTTATTACGAGATCTTTTGTTTGTTGTCTTCCTGCCAGTGGAGAAAAAACGAGATAAAATGACACTGAAAGTTCAGAGTGATTTGGTCAAAATGTCCCAAAATGACCAATAATCAGATGAGATGATAAAACATACCCTGGCAAATAGGGTGCTGGTGTAAAAGTCCAATCATTCGAATCTTATCAGGTCACAGACATTTGGACTTTGCCTTTATTTGTGTTTTTGGTGGTATATGTTTCAGTTTCCATACAAATCCAGTTCAATTTCGATGAAAGCTGCATACATTTCAGCAGAACAGAGCATGATGATGGCATGCACTTTATCTTTTGAGTATCTAAACTTTCCTAAAATATTGCAAACAAACTGGTCTTACTTTCACAAACTTTACAATTATTGTACAGATTATTAAACCTGATGTAGGCATTTTGTTAAAGCATATGCTATTATAGTTCAGATTAGGTGGGCCGTTCCTCCCAATCACACCCCTCCAGGTCAAGCTGTCATTGCCCACGTGAGCATTGAAGTCCCCCAGCAGGACAATGGAGTCCCCTGATGGAGCACTATCTAGCACTCATCCCAGGGACTCCAAAAAGGGTGGGTACTCTGAACTGATATTTGGCCCATAAGCACAAACAACAGTCAGGACCCGTTCCCCGACCCGAAGGCGCAAGGACGCTACCCTCTTGTCCCCCGGGGTAAACCCCAACACACAGGCAGAGAGTCTCGGGGCTAACAAAAAGCCAACCCCAGCCCTCCGCCTCTCACCCGGAGCAACTCCAGCAAAGTAGAGTGTCCAACCCCTCTCCAGGTCTCGGGTTCCAGAGCCAATGCAATGTGTCGAGGTGAGTCCGACTATATCTAGCCGGTACCGCTCAACCTCTGCCACAAGCTCCGGCTCCTTCCCCGCCAGCGAGGTGACGTTCCATGTCCCTAAAACTAGTTTTCTTGTCTGGGGATTGGACCGCCAAGGCTCCCGCCTTGGTCTGCCACCCGATTCGCATTGCACCGGACCCTTCATGTTCCTCCTGCGGGTGGTGGGTCCACAGTTGGACGAGCCCATGTATCCGGTTCGGGCTGGGCCCGGCCGGGCCCCATGGGCGAAAGCCCGGCCACCAGGCACTCGCTCACGGGCCCCAACCCCAGGCCTGGCTCCAGGGTGGGACCTCGGTAACCCTCCGGGCTGGGTACTCCGACTCTTCGTTTTAACCGCCATGAAAGATCCTTCGAACCGTTCTTTGTCTCACCCTTCACCTAAGACCAATTTGTCATGGGAGACCCTACCAGGGGCACTAAGTGCCCCAGACAACATAGCTACTAGGATCATTAGGGAACTCAAACTCCTCCACCACGATAAGGTGACGGTTCAAGGAGAAGAACATAAGGATGCCCACCGGTACACTTGGTACCAGGGCAGCCTAGGTCACAGGTCGATGATAGATTTTGTAGTCGTATCATCTGACCTGCGGCCGTATGTTTTGGACACCCGAGTGAAGAGAGGGGCGGAGCTGTCAACTGATCACCACCTGGTGGTGAGTTGGATCAGATGGCAAGGGAACATGCCGCGTTGACCTGGCAGACCCAAACGCATAGTGAGGGTCTGCTGGGAACGCCTGGCAGAATAACCTGTCAAGACGGTCTTCAACTCCCACCTCCGGCAGAGCTTTGACCACGTCCCGAGAGCAGTGGGGGACATTGAGTCCGAGTGGGCCTTGTTCCACTCTGCGATTGTCGAGGCGGCTGTTGCTAGCTGTGGTCGTAAGGTGGCCGGTGCCAGTCGTGGTGGCAACCCCCGTACCCGCTGGTGGACACCAGAGGTTCGGGGAGCCGTCAGGCTGAAGAAGGAGGCCTACAGGGCGTGGCTGGTCTGTGGGTCTCCGGAGGCAGCAGACAGGTACCGGATAGCCAAGCGGGGTGCAGCAGTGGCAGTTGCCGAGGCAAAATCTCGGGCGTGGGAGGAGTTTGGTGAGGCCATGGAGAAAGACTATCGATCGGCTCCAAAGAGGTTCTGGCAAACTGTCCGGCGCCTCAGGAGAGGAAGGCAGCAACTCGCTCACACTGTTTACAGTGGGGATGGGGAGCTGCTGACGTCAACTGAGGCTATAGTCGGACGGTGGAAGGAATACTTTGAGGAGCTCCTCAATCCCACCAATGCGCATTCCGAGGAGGAACCAGAGCTGGGAGGCCTGGGGATGGACTGTCCGATCTCGGGGGCAGAAGTTGCTGAGGTAGTCAAACAACTACACAGCGGCGGAGCCCCAGGGGCGGATGAGGTTCGTCCTGGGTATCTCAAGGCTATGGATGTTGTAGGGCTGTCATGGTTGACACGTCTCTACAACATTGCGTGGTCATCGGGGGCAGTTCCTAGGGAGTGGCAGACCGGGGTGGTGGTCCCCATCTTTAAGAAGGGTGACCTGAGGGTGTGTTCCAACTATAGGGGGATCACACTCCTCAGCCTCCCTGGAAAGGTCTACGCCAAGGTACTGGAGAGGAGGGTCCGATCGATAGTTGAATCTCAGATAGAGGAGGAGCAATGTGGTTTTCGTCCTGGCCGTGGAACTGTGGACCAGCTCTATACCCTTGCAAGGGTGATGGAGGGGGCATGGGAGTTTGCCCAACCAATCCACATGTGCTTTGTGGATTTGGAGAAGGCTTATGACCGTGTCCCCAGGGGCACCCTGTGGGGGACGCTCCAGGAGTATGGGGTGGGTGGCTTTCTGTTAAGGGCCATTCAGTCCCTTTACCAGAGGAGCGTGAGTTTGGTCCGCATAGCCGGTAGTAAGTCGGACCTGTTCCCAGTGAGGGTTGGACTCCGCCAGGGCTGCCCTTTGTCACCGGTTCTGTTCATCACTTTTATGGACAGAATTTCTAGACGCAGCCGTGGTGTGGAGTGTGTCGAGTTTGGTGGCAGGAGAATCTCGTCTCTGCTTTTTGCGGATGATGTGGTCCTCCTAGCTTCATCCAGCTCTGACCTTCAGCTCTTGCTGGGTAGGTTCGCGGCCGAATGTGAAGCGGCTGGGATGAGGATCAGCACCTCCAAATCTGAGACCATGGTTCTCGACCGGAAAAGGGTGGCTTGCCACCTCCGGGTCGGGGGAGAGGTCCTACCTCAAGTGGAGGAGTTTAAGTATCTCGGGGTCTTGTTCACGAGTGAGGGTAGGAGGGATCGGGAGATCGACAGGCGGATTGGTTTGGCGTCTGCAGTGATGCGGACGCTGAGCCGATCTGTCGTGGGGAAGAGGGAGCTGAGCCAGAAAGCCAGGCTCTCGATTTACCGGTCGATCTACGTCCCAATCCTCACCTATGGTCATGAGCTTTGGGTAATGACCGAAAGAACGAGATCGCGGATACAAGCGGCCGAAATGAGTTTCCTCCGTAGGGTGGCCGGGCTCAGCCTTAGAGATAGGGTGAGGAGCTCGGACATTCGGGAGGGACTCGGAGTAGAACCGCTGCTCCTCTGGATCGAAAGGAGCCAGTTGAGGTGGTTTGGGCATCTGGTCAGGATGCCTCCTGGACGCCTCCCCGGGGAGGTGTATCGGGCATGTCCTGCCGGCAGAAGGCCCCCGGGTCGACCCAGGACACGTTGGAGAGGTTACATCTCCAATCTGGTCCGGGAACGCCTTGGGGTCCTGCCGGAGGAGCTGGTGGACAAGGCCGGGGAGAGGACGGCCTGGAGCTCCCTAATTGGGATGCTGCCCCCGCGACCCGGTCCCGGATAAGCGGAGGAAGACGAAGACGAAGACATATGCTATTATAAATAAAAGGTTTTTTTATTGGGATTCATATGAAGGACGATATATGATGAAACATCAGGCAGTAGCTATACTCTCCAACTTTTTTATTTATTACATGCATTGTGAACATGTTTTACTTTCCTACTGAAACTGTTTAAAAGGAACTCAAAGTGTTTGTTTCGATGTTTATTAAAAACAATTGACATGTTCATGCAGGTTTCACTGTTGTTAATAAAATATGTTTAATCCAACTAAATAAATAAATAATGCACAAACTAATTGTAATTTTCAAGCTAATGTTTATGGATTTGCATACAATGTTCTGCATATGTGTGCATGTTTGATGTCCCATTTACCCGCCACCCCCCCACCCCCCCGCCCAATCCAAGAAAAACACAAGCAAAGTTTCATTTTTTTAAATAATAATTTTAATTGATATACACATTTTTGATTGTTTTAATTTATTTATTTTTGGTTTGTTTGCTTAAATTTCTTTGCGAGCTACAAAGTTAAGAAGAAATAATGAAATCACAATAAGAGACAAATTATGAGCTTCATAGTGTAACAACAATAAAACTCTGAATATCTTGACCATCTCTGTAAAAAAAGATCAGTAAGCACTTTCCTATTTCCAAGCAATAATTTCCTTCTAGAAGATTAAATAACATCATATCAACAAATCACTTTGTTTTTCAGTGATCTGATCACTTTTTCAGACTTATTTTAGGATGAGAGTCGTCAACTGCAAAAGTTAAGTGATCTACATCATAAATTTAAAACATGATTAGGGAAGGTTTCAGCTACCAAGGTGGATGGTAAAAGTAGAGGGTATTTGTAACCTCCCCCTCGCCAGATGGTATGTTCTAACGTTCCCCTTGGGCGGCAAATATGAAAATTCACAGTCAGAATGGAGTGCGAGTAACGTTTTAGGTAGCAAGAGGGTTAAGGTTAGGATGAGGGTGAGGGGAAGGTTATAAATAGCAAAACATTAAGGTTTAGGTGCGGTTAAATGAGCTGGTTCGATGCCGCATCAGCAGACATCCCATTACATCAGTTTTACGCTGCATTGGGATCTGCAGTCAGAAAAGGGAAAAACCCCTTTTCGCACATAAGTGACAAAAAAGGCAATGTGTTGAATGTAATGACGATCTCTAAAGTAACATCTAACAATGACTTCTCATCCATTTTAAAGGTGACAGAACTCAGTACGAATAAACTAGCCCTAAAAGAAAGAGATCATCAAATAAGCATGCACTCACATTCATAATGTTGAGATGTTGTTCAATATGCTTGTATTCTTGTCCAGATTAAGACTAAGAGTTGGGGACTGATGGGACAGTGGGACTTACACAGGAAAGGCCACAATTTGATGGACAGCACTTCAGCTCATTGCTACAGTCGTCATCATTTTGGCAGTGATCAAAACAGCGGGTGCGCCACACATAATCGGGACATTCTCCTGGCTTCACTCGAACACAAAAGCATTCGGTCAATTTCTAACCTACAGCTGTGTGGGAGGACTAACTGAAACATTTTACTACTTTAATTGTGTCTCACTTGGTTTTGAAGACATGCACAAGTGTCCACACCAAGTAGCGCAGCACTTTTCACCAAATCGGCAGTCGCTGTCAGAATAACAGTCCTTATCATAAATTGGCATCTGATTTACGTTGATCAGACACCCTAGTGTAGCTGAGAGGAAAGAGAAGACAAAGAAAGTTCACACTTTATAAAACTGAACACTAATGACTAATGGCTAATTGTTTCTAAAGAAAAAAGTAACATCTTATTTAGGTATGTAGTGGTTCTCACTTGAAACTGGGGGGGCACAGACAGCTCCGTAGCTGTACACGTAACATTTATCATCACATTCACAGTCTCTGTCAAATCTACATGCTTTTCCTGGCACGAAGGGATTAAAGACTTTTGGACAGTTACCTGGTTTAAGACAGAGGTGTAATAAAGGTTAATGAAAGAATCAGGTCAACATCTTAGGTAATTAACCCGGAAAACAAACTGAACACATTTGAGAAAATTTACCACGTTTTGGCATGATTGAGTTGGAGGACAAAAAGACACAAAACTCTAAAATCAGGCCAGCTACCGTGGACCAGTGAGTCCTCATGTTGAATTATCTCAATCAGGAATCTGCTCCTGGTGTCCTATTTGGTAAAATATCCTGGTTTATAAACTTTAACCAGAGCAGCCCAGGGAATTCTGGGTCCTTGTGTCGGTAGGGTTACTTATGTAAACAAGTCACTGGTGCACTCATTCAAACTTGACTTCAGCTTTTAAAAATGTTTTTTTTTCTTTTACTAATAAAAAAGAAAAAGGTAACAAAAACATTAAATTAGAATCATACATGTGAGTTTCTTCTAGTATTTCAAAATATTGAAGACAAGATAAGACTTTATTGATCCCACACCGAGGACATTTGTGTATTACCACATCTCAGGACAGATAGCAAAAAAAGTACAAGACTAAACAAGAATACAAAATAAAACAAGACAAGTCACTATATACAACAATAGATCCTATATACACACAGTAAGGACTATGGATAGAGGGATGTGAAACAATGTGCAAGTAATAATAAATATACCCCTGCAGCGGGGTTGTACCAGTATGGCTGAAGGAGCTACTTAGCACACCCACCGACTCGTGCAGAGGGAGATGTGGGTCAGCTTAGCTAACATCCTCCTCTCTCCCATCACCACAGACCTCCACAACAGTTTGTCAATCCTGCTCCTGTCCCTGTCCGTGCATCCGCTGCCCCAGCAGGCCACTGCATAGAAAAGGTTGGATGCTACCACCGTATTATTAAATGTCCTTGACAGGGCCCTGCATACACTGAAAAACCTCAATATCTTTAACAGGTAGGGTTGACGCTGGTCCTTCTTACACAGGGCGTCTGTATTTGTGGCCCAGTACAGTTTATTGTTGAGGTACTGCTAAGAGTCCACCATCTCAATGTCTTTTCCCTGGGTGCTCAACATTTTCTTTTTCTTTTCTTTTTTTTTTCTTGTTATGTTAGAACTGTGGATGATAATTTAATGAATACAATAAATGTATCCAAATCAATGTATAGCATGCAATATATATATATATATATATATATATATATATATATATATATATATATATATATATATATATATATATATATATATATATATATATATATATATATATGTATAGTGTTTGATCCTAGTAGAAATTGAAATATACTGAGGAAATTTTATGGTAAATCATTGAACTAATAATAGAGTCCCAAACAGAGAAACACTTTTCCCAAGTCCCACCAACTTGCTGATAAATAGAAATTTTAGCTGTTTTGCCTAAATCCAAAGAAAACATCACAGCATCTCAAAAACTTGATTTAATTTAGTATCCGTCATTCCAGCACTTGAGGTATTTATCTAAACGTTTGATACATTTTTATATAAGTGCATAAAGTTATGATATAAACACTTATTATGGACCTATGCAAGTTGATGAAAGAACACGTCTGGTTCTCTGTGAGGAGAGATTAGGATAGACAGTCTAAGACTTTTTCTACTTAAATGAAAGAATCCAGGGTTAGGGTTGGCAGTTCCATCCCAAGCCCCTGGAGGGCACATATTGATGTATCCTTGGAAGTATGTGGGAAAAAGAAGTACTTACGTCTGGTACAGATAAAAAAAAAACAGGCATCACACAGGAAAAAAACACCAGTTGTTGGACTGCACTTCAGCTCATTGGGGCAGCTGCTGCCAACTCGGCAGTGTTGAAAACAACGGGGGGTGAACAAGTTAGTGGGGCAGTTTCCTGGTTTCACTAAAACACAAAATCATTTAGTCACGTTTTACCCTGCAGCAGAAAGTGAAGTGATGCGCATATCTTACTTATTTCATGTGACAAGCAAATGTGTCCACATCCATCATAGCAGCACTTTTCACCAGGTGGACAATCGCTGTCATCAGCGCAATGCTCAGCACATGTGTACATCACTCCAGGAATGACTGGACACCGTGGCGATGCTGAGAGAGAAGAAATTGTCTGATAATGTGATTTTGAGGCTGAGAGTGTTACTCTACATAAGACGGTCTAGGTAATAATCTCACAGGTCTGGCATGGTGACAATCGAATGTCTGGGACAGTTACCAGGTTTTAGAGAAGGGTTGGATAGAGATATGTGTAAGTGGACGGCTACCAGCATGGTTAAATAAACAAAAACCACAAACAAAAGTGCGTAAATAACTCACCAGGTTTAGGCATGATGGAGTTAGTGTCATGTTCTGGGGCAAATGTCTAACCCAAGACATGCAGAATCAGAAGACGGACACAAATTGAAGAAAAAAAAAAATATTTTATTAAAACGAGGAACTAAAGGTGCACTGGAAGTCCAGCGGGTGAGGACACGGGAAGCAGCGTCTAGAGGGGAGAGTAGCAGAGGTGAGTACTGGGGCAGCAGTAGCTCAGGTGGTAGAGCGGGTTGCCTCATCATCGGAGGGTCATGGGTTTGATTCCAACTCCTGCCAGGGGTATCCTGCTTTTGTGTCCTTGGGCAAGACACTTCACCCAGCTTGCCTGTTAGTGGTGGTCAGAGGGGCTGACGGCGCCAAATGGCAGCCTCGCCTCTGTCAGACCTCCCCAGGGCGGCTGTGGCTACAAGTAGCTTACCATCACTAGCAGTGTGTGAATGTGAGAGTATGTAAAAGCGTCTTTGGGTGTCTAGAAAAGCGCTATATAAGTTCAATGCATTTATTTATTCATTTACTGGGATTTGTAGTCCAAATGAGGGGAACTGGCGGAGTGACTTACGGTTCAGTAAGATAAGAAGAACTAGGGAGGGGTAAGCCGGGGTAATAATCCAGGTGATGAACAGAGAGCGGTTGAGATGGTGAGAGGGGATGTATCCGAGAGACCAGTGTGGGGTTTGGAGAGGGAGCAAGGCGCGGTGGAGAGCGGGTCGGTCAAGCGGGTGGATGGTGAACCAGGAAGAGACCCGGTGAGAGATCCATACAGAGTTGGGTGGAAGTCCTGAGGGGAAGCCAACCTGAGGTGAGCAATCCAAACAAATCCAGAGGTTAGTTGAGGATAACACATGCACAAGAGTTCAAAATCTAGTGACGAGTTTTTCGAAGGCAAGAGACTACCAGTCAGTAGTAATCTTCCTGCGTCGAGTCACGTCCACCATCCTCCTTATAAGCAGGCCAGCTGATTAGCTGAACGAAGAACAGCTGTTGCTCCCTCTCCTGAAACCAAACACTCAGAGATGGTGAAAATGAGAAGAGTACTCACCCCGGCTCATGACAGTCCCCGGCTCATGGAGGTTAGGCTGGTTAAAGGGGCTGCTGTCTGACTGTAGTTTCTAATGAACCTATGGTAAAAATTGGCAAACCCCAAGAACCTCTGTAATTGTTTTCTTGTGGATGGAGTGGGCCACTCTGTAACTGCTTGAACCTTCTCTGGGTCCGCCTTTAACCTCCCGCTCTCAATGATGAACCCCAAGAACTTAGCTGTGGGAACATGAAACTCTCACTTTTCAGCCTTGACGTAGAGTCTATTCTCAAGTAGGCACTGTAACACAGATCTCACGTGCTGGATGTGCTGCTCCAGGGTCTTAGAGAATATCAAAATGTCATCAAAGTACACTGTTACAAACTTGTTGAGAAAATCACCCAATACTGAGTTTACTAGAGACTGGAAAATGGCAGGGGCATTAGTTAACCCAAACGGCATTACCATGTATTCAAAATGGCCCAGGGGCGTCTTGAATGCCGTTTTCCACTCATCCCCTTCCCTTATCCTCACCAGGTTATGGGCATTCCTGAGGTCCAACCAGCTGAAAATGGAGGTGTCCTGGATCGGCTCAAAAGTGGAGGAGAGTAAAGGCAGAGCATACTTATTACGAGCAGTGATCTGGTTCAAACCTCTGTGGTCGATGCAGGGCCAGAGTGTTCACTCCTTTTTGGGCACAAGAAAGAAACCTGCTCCCAGGGGGGAGGATGAAGGTCGTATGGTTCCAGCGGCGAGACAGTCCTGTATGTAAAGTTCCATGCTTTCTCTCTCAGGTTTGGAGAGGTGGTAGAGACGGCTAGATGGCAGAGGAGCTCCCAGCAGCAGATCGATGGCACAATCAAAAGGCCTGTGAGGAGGCAAAGAAGAAGCGCGGCCCTTACTAAATGCCTGTTTGAGGTCGTGGTACACCTGAGGAACGGCAGACAGGTCAATGTTCTCCATAGGGGGTGTTGAGGGGCCACGTATGGGAGGTGAAGCAGAACGTAGACATAGTTGGGAACATTCTGGGCTCCATCCAAGGATCTTGTTCTCCTTCCAAGCTAGGATGGGGTTGTGGCGAACCAACCATGAATGCCCAAGAACCAGTGGCGACTGAGGAGAAGCAAACACGTAAAAATTCAATGTCTCTGTGTGGTTACCTGAAACCAAAAGGCGGAGGAGAAAAGTCGATTGGGTAATGGTGGAGAGATTACGGTTGTCCAGCGAGGAGACTGAGAGAGGGGTAGATAACCTGGTGGTGGGAATCTTCCACTCAGCCACCGGTTGAGGGTCCAACAGAGATTGCTCGCACCCTGAGTCCAGAAGGGCCTTGAGTGGGATCTGTCTAGAGTTAACAATCAAAGAACATGGAAAAGAGCACTGAGAACTAACAGAGTCTGAGTTACCGCCCACCAGTAGTCCCGGTTTTACCGGCGGGCTTTCCCTTTTAACAGAGCTGGGCAGTTGTTAATAAAATGTCTTGAAACAAAGGCCTGACCTGATCCGGTGCTCTCTCTCCTCCTGAGAGAGGCGAGTCCTTCCCATCTTCATGGGCTCCTCTGCAGAAGGGGAGTCTGGTGCGAGACGCCCACTGGCCCCTAGGGCCCTTTCTTGCGAAGAGGAGGCAACCGGTTCTGGTTCCTGTCTTCTCAATTCCCTGTGACGTTTGTCGATGGAGATGGCCAGTCTGTTGAGCTCCTCCAGTGAGCTGGGTTCTGGGCACAGGGCCAACTGGTTCCTCACTCTTATTCAGCGCCTCGGTGAAAGCTCCGATGAGGGCGTCCTCGTCCCAGGTTGTCCGGGCTGCCAAACTACGAAACTCCACTGCCAAGTCTGCCACTGATCTTCTGCCTTGTGAAAGTGTCCACAGCTTCTTTCTGATATCCGAAGTGGACTCAAAACAACCAAAAGTTAGTTTAAAATTGGATAGAAATTCGTTAAAGGGTCCATGTAAAAACAAGTCATTGTGGCTCTTAGCCTCTGCCCATCTTAATGCTCTTCCTCGCAATAGACCTACTATAAAGGAGATCTTGGTGGAGTCTGAGGAAAAAGCTGTGGGACAACGTTCGAAAGCCAGCTGACATTGGAGCAAGAAGCTGTGGCATTCCTCAAACTCACCCCCGAAGGTCACTGATGGCGGGGACAGAGCTACACGGAAGTGGGTTCCTTCCATGGAACTTGCAGCTTCCTGTCCGGGGGTTCCTGCGGCTGTCGGGGCGGCTGACGGTGGTTCCGCTGAAGAAGGTCGCTGACGAGTATAGGACAAGGTCTCATGGATGTGACGAACCATAGTCTCAAGCTGCTTATATCGTTGGTTTGCAGAGGTGAGTTGCTCCATTAGCAAGGGAAGAGTTTGTCCCTGTTGGGATAATCTGTTAAAGATGTTGGTGAGTACTGATCCTGCGGGGTTAGCGTCATGGCCGGAAGATTTCTGTTATGTTCTGGGGCAAATATCTAACCCAAGACATGCAGAATCAGGAGACGGACACAAATTGAAGAAAAAAATAAATATTTTATTAAAACGAGGAACTAAAGGCGCACTGGAAGTCCAGCGGGTGAGGAAACGGGAAGCAGCGTCTAGAGGGGAGAGTAGCAGAGGTGAGTACTGGGATTTGAAGTCCAAAGGAGGGAAACTGACGGAGGGACTTACGGTTCGGAAAGATAAGAAGAACTAGGGAGGGGTGAGCCGGGGTGATAATCCTGGTGATGAACAGAGAGCGGTTGAGATGGTGAGAGGGGATGTATCCGAGAGACCGGTGTGGGGTTGGAGAGGAAGCGAGGCGCAGTGGAGAGCGGGTCGGTCAAGCGGGTGGATGGTGAACCAGGAAGAGAGCCGGTGAGAGATCCGTACAGAGTTGGGTGGAAGTCCTCAGGCGAAGCCAACCTGAGGTGAGCGATCCAAACAAATCCAGAGGTTAGTTGAGGTTAACACATGCACAAGAGTTCAAAATCTAGAGACGAGTTTTTCGAAGGCAAGAGACTACCAGTCAGTAGTAATCTTCCGGCATCGAGTCACATCCACCATCCTTATAAGCAGGCCCGCTGATTAGCTGAACGAGGAACAGCTGTTGCTCCCTCTCCTGAAACCAAACACTCAGAGATGGTGAAAATGAGAAGAGTACTCACCCCGGCTCATGACAGTTAGATGACAAAACAACACAAACCCCTAAAATCAGGGCAGCTAATGTAGACCAGTGTGTCCTCATGTTAACTAATCTCTATCAGGGATCAACTCTTGTGATCTGGGTTGGAAAAATATCCTGCTTTATAAATTGCAACCTGAGCAGCCCAGATGATTCTGGGTCCTTGTGTCTGTAGAGTTACTTATGTAAACAAAACAGTTATCCATCCATCCATTTTTTTCAACCCATTTTTCAACGCAGGGTCGCAGCGGGGCTGGTGCCTATCTCCAGCTGTCTTTGGGCAAACATGTGGGGTACACCCTGGACAGACTGCCTATCAAATCTCAGGGCAACGTAGAGACACACAGGACAAAAACATGCACACACACATAGTGACAATTTAGAGAAACCAGTAAACCTGGCTATCATATTTTTGGACTGTGGGAGGAAGCCGGAGTACCTGGTGGGAACCTATGCGTGCACAGGGAGAACATGCAAACTCTTTGCAGAAAGACCCATGGGCCAGGATGTGAACCCAAGACTCGCTTGCTGCAAGGCAACAGCACATTTGTGGCACACCTGACAAATCAGTTAAATGTATTTAAATACTTTGTGAACTTAATTGAAATTGTAAAATATTGTGAAGTCAGTTTTTCTATTAAAAATATTAAAATGATAAATGAACACCTAAACTAAAAAAGACTATTTCTGATCTTCACAAACTTGCTGATAAAAGAAACATTGTGCTGTTTAACCTTTTGTCTAAATCTAAAGAAAACATTTCAGTATCTCAAAAACATGATTTGTAATTTTTTATTTCAGCACTTAAAGGTTTCAGTTATAGTTTATGCTCAAATTTTTTTTTTTTTTTTTTTTTGGAATTGTCCAAATTGGTGAAAGCTAACAGTCTGGTTCAGGACAAAATTACCTTTCTCTTTGTGACGGGAGATTATGTATGACGGGGGGTCTAACTCAAATTCACACTGTGTCCAAATGAAAGTCTGGGACAAAGTCCAAACTCAATATTTATTCAAAAGTTGACGGCAAATGTGCAAATCTCCAGATATGTACTGGTAAAATTTTTCATTTGGAAACAAACTTACTTTGCATAAACAATTTGGAATAATCTAATTACACACAAGCAAGTAAATTTAAAAAAAAAACAACACAAACCTGATTCTGAAATCAGTGGTATTCTTTACTTAGTAAGTCTGCATTTCTATCTTTTTATTTATTAAAATGTGTTCATGTCCAGCATTTTTGAAGTTTTAATCTTTGATTATCTAGAATCTTTGCAACTAAGCATGGAGCGTTTGAGCAGCTACGACGCAGGGTTGGCTCAGTAAGATATAAACTGCTGCAGCCAAAAAGTCTTACTCTGACTTGAGCGTGTCACTACACTGGAGTTCATTCCACTTCGTCTGGAGGTACATTGGTGCTCTTTCAACCACAAAAAGATTACTGAGCAGTTAGAATCTTGGCTTCTGGACTTCATATTTTCAGTTTGTCTGAGACTGAGGAGATTAAGGCTGCAGGTGTCGAGACTGGTCGCATGGACGCTAATGACTGTAAACAGAAAGCAGGGGGCACTTTGACTGGTGTGCTATTGCTAAAAAGCACTATGGGATCTGTAGTATGTGTAGCGAATGTGCCAGCAGGCCAGTTCTAAAATACATTTAATATATGATCTCACAGACCAAATATAAATAAACAATGGGCCAGATTTGGCCCAAGGACTTAAATGGTAAATGGCCTGTATTTGATATTGCGCCTTCTAGAGTCCTGGAACCCCCCGAGGCGCTTTACAACACAATCAGTCATTCACCCATTCACACACTGGTGGGGATGAGCTACAATGTAGCCACAGCTGCCCTGGGGCGCACTGACAGAGGCGAGGCTGCCGAGCACTGGCACCACCAGTCCCTCCGACCACCACCAGCAGGCAAGGTGGGTTAAGTGTCTTGCCCAAGGACACAACGACAGCGACAGACTGAGCGGGTCTCGAACCTGCGACCTTCCGATTGCGAGGCGAGCACTTAACTCCTGTGCCACCGTCGCCCCAAAGACTAAGACTAACACCTGTGGATTATGATATCTAGTTTAAGACATTTGCTACTTGAATGTTTTTGTTTGTATTAAAAAGGAAAAGTTACACTGAAAAAGCTATTTTACCAAACTAAACTTAAAGGAAAATTACAAAAAAGTAAACACACATAATTATAGTATAACACTTTTATTTTGTATATCTGATTAGACAAATTTAGGGAGGGGGACATTGGGATTTCCGGTGCAGATCAAAAAATAGGCTCCACACATTTAAAGCCACAGATTGTAGGACAACACTTCAGCTCATTGGAACAGCTGCTGTCACCTCGGCAGTGATCAAAACAACGGAGGGAAAACAGAACAATGGGACAGCTTCCTGGTTTCACTGAAACACAAACACCAAATCATGTTGTACCCCGTGCAGCAGAATGTGGAATTATCAATGTGTTCATATCTTACCCAGTTCATGTGACAAGCAAATGTGTCCACATCCGTTGTCGCAGCATTTTTCACCAAATGGACAATCACTGTCAGAAGAGCACATTTCACCACAAATGGGCATTACTCCTGGAATGACTGGACACCGTGGTGTTGCTGATGGAAAAAAGAAAGCTATAAATGCTGAAATTGCTCTGAGTTAGAAAACTATGTAAATTTGAAGCTGATATTGTTTAGGAAAGTAAATATTCTCAAAGATCCTGTTTACTAAAATGTTTTGTAACAGCTATTTGAGGAGGCATAGGTGCTTCTTACTTGGAACAGGAGACACACAGGTACGTTGACGGTTAAACAAACAGCATTTTTCATATTCAGGACAGTCATTGTCAAAGTCGCAAGGTAGTAGTGGTATCAGTGGCCTCATGATAGGCACATCTTTGGGACAGTTACCTGGTAGAGGAGGATTAGGGTAATGTAAGTAGACGGCTACCAGCATGGTTACATAAACAAAAACCACAAACAAAAGTGCATAAATAACTCACCAGATTTGGGCATGATGGAGTTAGATGACAAAACAACACAAAACCCTAAAATCAGGGCAGCTAATGTAGACCAGTGTGTCCTCATGTTGACTTATCTCTATCAGGGATCTTGGTCTGTTGTCTGGGTTGGAAAAATATCCTGCTTTATAAATTGCAACCTGAGCAGCCCAGATGATTCTGGGTCCTTGTGTCTGTAGAGTTACTTATGTAAACAAACCAATTAAATACTTTGTGAGGTCAATTGAAACTGAAATATATTATGAAAACAATTTTTTCTATAAAAAAATTTGAAATTATAAATGAACTCTCAAACTACGAAAGATTATTTTGGATTCTTACCAACTTGCTGATAAACAAAACACCTTGCTGTTTCACCTTTTGTCTAAATCTAAAGAAAATATCGCAGCATCTCAAAAAGAATTGTTTTTAAAATTATTTTAGACCAGGCAAGGCAGCTTTATTTGTATAGCACATTTGATACACAGAAGCAATGCAATGTGCTTTCCAGGAGCAACAACAGCAAGAACACAAAACATCAAAATAATGTGAACACTAATCAGCAGATTTATAAATCAAATTTAAAACACAAATTAAATTAGATGCCAGAAAGTTCAAGACCGAGCAGTTACGGTGCAGAAGGTGCAACATATGAAACATTCATTAAAATGCTAATGAATACATGCATGTTTTCAATTTTAATTAATAAGTTATAGAGTTAGGACACATTTGAGGTCATAAGGAAGCTGATTCCATCTGTGTGCAGCATAGTAGCTAAAAGCAGCTTCACCGTTTGGTTCTACTGGCTGACTGCTTCTTAAGGATCTCAGAGCCCTGCTGAGCATATGTACTCAGTGCTTGAAATGGAAAATAAGTGCAGTACTCTCCAAAGAAAAATATCGAGAAGTGTTTGTTTTTTTTCTTTGAGGCACTCCCCATTATAAAATGACTGTATTATGAAAATCCATTTAGGCACAGATGTAACGAACAGCCTCTTTCAACAATGGAAGAAGCCTTTTGATGCACACATCTTCTTTTTCTGGATACTAAGTCATCAATGAGGTCGTCTGATGCTGTGAATCTTCTGGGTTGAGCTGAGCTGAGTTCATGATAGCCAGACCACTCATGTGATATATATATATATATATACACACACACACACACACACACACACACACACACACACACACACACACACACACACACACACACACACACACACACACACACACACACACACACACACACACACACACACACACACACACACACACACACAAACTGGAGGAGTGGCTAAAGCAGATCCCAGCAAAAACATTAATCTTAGCCCAGAAAAGTGTAGTTCTAGGAACAGCTAAGATACTGAGCAGAACCTTCAGCTCCCAGGCCAGAGATTGGAAGGATGAGACCACCTGCAGAGGGTGATGTGAATTGTTTTCTTTTTTTACATAACAATATTGATAGATGACCTGCACTTGTATAGTAACTTTCAAAGTCGAAGGACTCCGACGCGGACTACAGTGTATCATTCATCTATCCATGCATTCAAACACTAGTGGTGATGAGCCTGGACTAGGATAAAAATTCAGCCCTGGAATTACTCCATCCCGTCGGCCCTCAGAGCAGCGGTGCTGGTATGTGAGATTGATTATCTGGCATACTTGGCACTTCATCTCCAGGACAGTCTCTGTCAAAATTGTATAATGCTTATAGAAGTGGTGGTGGGGGTGTTGACATGAGGGTAATCAGACCTCTAGGACAGTTATCTTGTTTTAGAGGAGGGTTTGTTAAAGAGCAATCCATCAAAGGAGATGCAAATACATTATTTTTTAAAATAAACTCAAGTACCTCTTTCTGCTCTTGAGTCAAAGAAAAGCCCAAGTCAAAATTGTTCACAGTTGATAACGCAGTTTCATACAAGCCATCGCCATCTTTGTATCAGTAACATTCCACCCACCAACAGAATGCTGCGATTGGCCAACCAAACCAATAAAGTGCTTTGATTGGATCACTACGGAGCTGTGGCCATGGTTTTGCTCAGTTGCAATAACTTCCCACCCATCTGGCTGACATATTGCTGTATTCGACTGCTATGGGTTTCAGTCAACAGGGGCAGTCTGCCATTACATTGTGAAAGAACTACATAAAACATAAAAATATGTTTTTCTAAATAAACAGGCTTTGAGTTGGTTAGCAGCTCCTGCTGAAAAGTTTCACTTTATTATAGAAACAGAAATATAATTTATTGACACTTTGATAAAGTTATAAAAACAATTAAAGTGTTTTATTTCTTTTTTTCCAGTCAGTACATTGAATTTTGCACTAATATGACCTATGTTTTCCTGCGGGGGTGGCTAACAGCGCATAATATGACATTTAATATATTTAAATGCTGTTTAAGGGTAAGTATCCATCCATTTTCGACCGCTTATTCGGGGTTGGGCCTAAGCAGGGAGGCCCAGACTTCCTTCGCCCCAGCCAGTTGGGCAGGGGATACCCAAGGAGTTCCTTGGCCAGCTGAGAGACATAGTCCCTCCAGCGTGTTCTGGGTCTTCTTTTGTCTTCTCCCAGTTGGACGTACCCAGAAATCCTTACCAGAGAGGCATCCAGGAGTAGGTTGACCAGATCCCAACTTGCCAAATGTGGGACAGAGGTACTCAATGTGGGACAACGTGAAGTTCCAATGTAATGAGAAAAAAAAGAGTATATTCTGCCTTTAAGCCCTAACATCAATGTTACATATACATAAAATGATTATTCTTATTATCATCATTTATTACTTGTATTTATTTTATTTGAATTCAACATGAACAAGCATACAGCAGCTTTACTATTTCACAGTTCCTCTCAAGTTACGACAACATAACTCTGTAGTGGCTCTGATCATTTCAATAATATAGATAGGCCCACAATAATAATAAAACAAAATGCAGGTTTCAGCAGCTTTGCAGAGTTTTCATTGAATGTTTTCCACAACAGAATGGCAGTAAAATTACCAGTAATAGTTTTTAGATCTATTTATGTTTGTTTTTAATTATTTTTCCACTAAAATCAGCATCTCACAGAAAAAAAAAATCCACACTTTTTGCTATTTTTTTCTTAATTCAGAAACAAAATGATTTTTTAAAACATCACAACAATCTCTTCTCATTTTAGGCAAGAGAATAAACATCAGATTCTAATCTCTAAAAAATTCAGATCTAATCTAATAATAGAGTTTCTTAGAGTTACTTCTTGCCTCAAATTTCTGAGAATAAGTGATGAAAGCTTCCATTTATTCTCTCATTATTTCTTCACTGTGCTTTAAGGGGCTCAGCATGTACGTAGGTAACTGAAACCGCAGCACCTTGTCTGTTTTAGAGCCTCCATTGTGTTTATCATGGACCTGTCTAAAAACTGGAAAACCTGCTTTTGACCTCTTCATATTAGACTTTGCACCGAGACATGAAAAATGACTCAGAAACAACAAATACTCGGTCGAGTATCTCTGAACAGGTTTAATTCACGAGTTTACAGCATTTTCTGTTTTGGTGGTTCCGGTGCGCTCCACACACCCTCCATATTTGCGTTAAAACCCCGCCTCCATTTGATTGACAGCAACAGGCAGATTTTTCCACAGTTTCTTTTATGAGATTGAAACTCAAAACGGGAAACTGTCAATAATGCGGGGCATGAGTCTTGATTTGCGGGACACGTGAAAAGTAATGAAAATCTGGGACATCTGGTCACCCTGTCCAGGAAGCAGCCTAACTAGTTGCCAGAGCCACTTTAACTGGCTTCTCTCAATATGAAGGAGCAGCCGATCTACTCTATGCCCCTCCCAAATGACCAAGCTACTCACCCAATTGCTAAGGGAGAGCCCAGCCACCCTGCGGAGAAAACTCATTTCAGCCACTTGTATCCATAATCTCATTCTTTTGGTCACTACCCAGAGGAAGTATTCCTACTTAGAATACAGTAGCAGGATCTTGCAAAGTAATGAAATACGTTACAAAATACATTTTAAAGCAGGTATTCAGTATTCTGTAACTAAATCCATTTACAAAATATTCTCCCCAACACTGACTGTAAATACCAGTGTTACGGACCCAGAGGTTTCTGCTCTCCACCAGGTGACCTCCTGCTGCAGGCCTCAGTTCCTGCAGTCCTGCCATACAGCACCAGAGGCCAGAGGAGTGATATGGAGCAGCTGCACCAAATCAACAATCAGCTGCTCCTGAAGCCTTTTAAGCCTCCTCACTCAATGATTCAGGGGACACAGTGACAGAGGAGACACAGTGATAGAGCTGACTGTGATTTCTTAGAGACTCTGTTTTAGTAACCCCACTGTTGTCTCCAGTACTGGGGTTTAAGGTTAAATGTTTAGTGCCCCTGTTTTGCTAAGGTTAAGTTGTGCCTTTTGCCACCCTTTTGTGAATCTCCAATCCTCAGTTTAGTTTGTTTTTGTGTTTTGCCTTTGAGGATTTTAGTTGGGGAGATTTCTAGCTTCCTAGTTTTGATAATTATGGATTTTCTTTTGGTTTTGGCAGTTGATTAGGTTTATTCATTTAGTAACACATATGTGGTTGGTTTAGTTTAGAATAGGTGTGCATCCCTTTTGGTCTCCTCGCTCTGGTTAAACCAGAGAGAGTCACTTTAAGTTGGTTATTATTTTTGCCTTCTCCCTGTTTTAGCAGAGGGAGTTTATTTAGTTTAATTATTATAATACCCTTCATCCAACATTTTGTTAAACCTTTTGAACTGCTATTTGTTAACCTCCTTCCATTCATTCATCACCATTATAACCAGACACTATTCCTTTGTAGTCATTCCCTTTTATTTTACATCATTTTATTTTTCTCTGTGTTCTCCCCTCGCCACTCCTAGACACCAGAGGGGACGTAACAACCAGTCAGTACAGGCCTTCTGACACCAACTTGCAAGAAGGGGTCTTGTGGTGAAGTAATGGCTAAAAGTACTTAAAATCACACAAATATTAAAAAAAGCGTTGACGTTGTTAATCATAAGCCCCCCTATCATTTTGTTTTTTTTATTTTATTTTATTTTTTCAGTTAACTTGTTTTAATTTGTTCACGTCTACATGCTCAACACAATCACAACACGTGTAGTTGGTACAAGTGTTTTTTTTTTAGTCTGAAACAGAAATAACAATTAATGAATATAGAACTACACCGTCGCACACAGGAACTATCAATAAAGGACTTCCTCCACTTCCTTAACCCCGACAGCTATGCTGACAATTCAGGGGCAGGGGCGATACAGCAAAACCTATATATCGATGAGCAAACCCTGCTCAGCGCTCATGTGAGTCACTCAACATCACATTAGGGTAAGACAGCAACAGCAGCACACTGTTAACATTTCAAGGTTATAGTTCAGACTTCAGAGAGAGGAAAATGCTACCGCACCGACATGCTAATGCTAACTCCACTAGCATGTTTACATGCCGCAAACCATAATGAAAAGCTTTGATGTCAAGTAAAATGGTCGGAAAACTCCCCTGAAGTGACATGATTAACGAGCCAGCCAGTTCATTGAGTGACTAAGGCCTAGTCCACACGTAGCCGGGGTTTTTTAAAAACGAATATCCGCCCCTCCAAAAACTTGCATCCACACCACCGCGTTTTAAAAACAGACTCTGTCCACACGTACCCGGATAAATACTTTGTTAAGGACATGCCAGACCTGTAGGCGGCAGTACTTCCCCCGTTCTTAACCTCGTCCTTCGTCTGTGGTCTTCCGCAAGGAGCAGTAATTCAGCTTGCAAAAACAAAAAAGCAAAAAGCGCTTGGACAATTGATGGATCGGGTAGTGACAGAGCGCAGCTCTGAAGGCTTCCATGATGCCGGCTAGTGTAAACACAGGTCGCACACGTGATGTCAGCATTTTTTTGTCGCGGAAAGTGACGCTGCAGACCTTAAAACTCCGGTTTTGTCCGTCCACACGCAGACACCCAAAACGGAGAAAACGCAGATCTTCACTTTGGCCGGAGTTTTTAAAAAGATCCGTTTTTGTGTGAAAAAACTCCGTTTTCATGTGGATGACAGGCCAAAACGTAGGAAAATATCTACGTTTTGGCAGATCCCCGGCTACGTGTGGACAGGGCCTTAGTGCCACCAACTTGAGCGTACAGTAATGAGTCTGCACAAACAGAACCTGCTCTGCGCTTGTGTGCAGGAGCTGCAGCCCGCTCTGTGGGCTCAACTCTGTCTCTGCGCATGTAAATCTCTCCCTGCTCTACTCAACAAGTAGCCTCTCCAACAGTCAATCACAGACAGCTCTGTTTTGTCCAATCAAAGCATGTCCAGGAAATACTGCTTTACAGAAAAACACCCATTTAACAGCTAATTGAACTGCTTTCTGCTGCTGGTTAGCTACCAGTCACCATCCACTGCCTGCAAAATACTTTGTTGTAATTCATGTGTCATGATTAGGGTGACCATATTTGACTTCCTGAAAAGACACATTGCCCATTCCTAAAACTGTTAAATTGCACTCTTTTCAGTTAAAGAGGACTTTTAATTTCAACATATAAAGTGTTTCTTCTCTTTTTGGTTAGACATACTGTAAATGATCCCTTGATGTGTAAAAGGAAGTGAACAGTGGAAATGTCCCAGGAAAAGAGGAGGGTTAATCAACCTAATTAAATATAATTATATAAAGTCCTCTATCTGAAAAAGTGCAATTTTCCTGGCAATATTTCCTGAACATGGTTTGATTGCATAATGAAGAGCTGACTGATTGGCTGACGGAGAGGCTACATTGCTTTGTAAACTGCAAATTGAGCAACAACAGGGAGATTTGTGCAGGCAGAGACGGAGTTGAGCATGCAGAGAGAGGGCTGCATACGACTGCAGAGCAGGTTGTGCTCTTGCAGATTGATCACTGCACGCTCCAGTTGGTAGCACAAAAATCACTCCACACTAAAAACCTGAATCAGAATATGGCCGAATGTGTATATTATTGATATCGATATGTATCTATAATATAGTTAACAGCCAGTTTTATATATGTCACATATATTCAAAAGCTATATCAAAGCATATATTAAAACCTATATGTTTATATGAATTCTTTCCATGTGGGTTGTCAATTGCTTAATATTTCCTATGTTTACCTATAGGAGATATTGTACTCATCTAATTTTAACATAAATTTTGGCAGCTTAATGTGACGTTATGGAAAATGCCATCATCATGAGCAACCAAACATAGGCTATATTAGGCTAACAGTTGTCCATATTCTGTACCATTTATCCAACAATGGCTGTTTCAATTATTGTGAGTGAAAACTAAATGGCATAGTAGCATTTGTTTTGGCATTAGAAATTGAAAATGTTTTTCAATGTGTTGGCTAGATGGATATACGAAGATTTTTTTAAGAGAGTGAGTCAGGAACAGGAGAGAGACCAGGTGGTTGATGCTGAGGAGATCTGCATGGTCAAGGTCATTGATCTACAGGAAACAGGGGCAAGCGCACCGTTATGAGCATTTACCTGAGCACAAAGTTCCCAAGCAAAATTGAAACATTTTCTATTTAGGAGTGAACAGGTAAGAGACCTTGAGAAAAAAAAACAACAATAATTATCATCTGACCTGCAACCTTATGTCAAGTTGTATCTGTATAGTTGACTTTCTGCATTATAAGTTCTACTACTTGCTGGATATTTTTATAGATTCTGTAATTTTGTCTTGTAATTGTTAATTACACACTCCTTTATTCCATATCATAGCAGTGTTATTCATATATTAAAACTGTCAACTGCACACTCATTTGGCAGAATAAAAGTTTGACAATTATTCATTTGTTCTTTGTCACATTTCAGTAACATTTATAATTAAACAAGTGTTAATTAAACAAATTAAATACATGACTGCAACATTTACCCCTGTTAAGTGCAGTAGACTGAATGGAATAGCTTTATTTGGAAATATAACATATCTAATTTTTAATGGACTTGCATAAAATCTTTCTTCAACATAGACCCCACTAATGAACTGATTAAGTGTTATTTTTTATAAAAAGAAGAGAGAAAATGCACAAAGGTAGGAAAGGAAAAGAAAGTGATAAAATAATAGGTTTTGTTAAATGTTCTTCATATAATGAATTAATTGACAAAGTTTTTGCAGGGTGTGACAAAAAATGTTCAAGGTCAAGCTCCTGCGGCTAAGTCTTCCCTATATCTCAATCCTAGTGACGTCCATGAAAAAAAGAGATTAAAACACAAAATACAAAAAGCGCTGACGCAAACACACTTTTTAAAGTTAAGGGTTAGGGTCAAAGTTTTTTGATTGAAAATAGGTTAGCATTTACATTTTTCCAAAAGAACCATTTCTGTAATGCTACATTCTGACTTTATAACAATTGTGAAGCATTAAAAAAAATCAACAAATTAGCATCACTTCCCATCTCTAAAAAGTTAATAATCACAAACTTCATAATTTAGAAGATAAACTGCTAAAACTACAACAGAAACATGTGAAAGATATGAAAGACGAGATTAGATCTGATATTGACCAGCTGAAAGAAATAAATGATTTTAATTGACTTCATGTGCAAAAAAAAAAACTAATCCTTACTCAACACCAATGCTATGAGGGTAGGTCCTTTAAACTTATCTCATACAAACTGAAAAAACAAGCTGAAAGAACAATTCATAAAATCACACACTAGAATCGAATGCGATCAGGACTGTTACGTTTTACCTTCTTCAGAGAGGGGAAACCAGGGAGACAAGAAGGAACTTGTGTAAAGAAAAACAAATTTATTAAAACATTAGAACACAAAAACCAAGGGCTGGAAATCCTAACAGCAATACAACTAACAGCCCTTGAAACTCAGAGTCCAATGTTAATACAAAATAAAGCAAGAGGCTAAGGCTCAGATCTATTAACTGGCAGCAACAAAAGAAAACCTATCAGACCTAATTGTTCAACAGGATGGTACAAAAGAAAGAAAGATGTGGGATGGATTAACTAGAAGACTCAGGGTTATTTCCAAAACCTAAAGAAGCTTTCACCTTCTACATAATAATTCAGCAACTTAACCACAAAAGACTCTCAAACTCAAACAGTGGACACTGTAGTCCTTTTACTATGAGTAATTACTAAACCCAATGAGAGACTTATTAAAAGCTAAGGAATTATTTTCTTTCAAGATGTTTAAACTTCTAAACCATGAAACCAGCCCAAAGGGAGTCTACTTGGTTACAAGTAGCTCCGAGAGTGAAAGTTCCTCCAGCCTTTTATCCTTTCCAGATCCAGAGAAAATGATTAGTTCAATTGCTTCCACCTGAAGAACCGTGGAGGGATCCACTAGTGATGAGGCTTCCGGATTGTGGTTTCCATTGTTACTGGACGACGGCATGGAGGCAGCCATCTTGTATCTGGGTCCGGTGTTGTCACTCCAAAATAAAACAAAACAATGGGAGGAAAACTACCAAAACAGGGGGCAAAACACTGACTAAACAGTAATAATAATACGACCAACCATGGTAAAACCCAGGGGTCGTAACAAGGACAAAATTAAAAAGTGTTTCCAAAATTATTACTCAATACTCTACTTCCAACCAGATGTGGACAAAGATCAGGACATAGATACTTTTCTTATAAATCTAAATCTACCAACACTAACGGATGAGGAAAATAATAAACTTCGTTCTCCAATTGCTAAAGAGGAAATTCATATAGCAATTCAGAAGTCGAAGAACGGAAAGATGGCAGGAGAAGATGGTTTTGGTCATGAATGGTATAAAATGATGGAGAGTTGTTTAATCCCCAAATTAGTGAAGACATTTAATTGGGTGATGCAGGAAAAGATAGTTCCACCCTCATGGAACGAAGCAGTTATTTCTATAATCCCC